CCTCCCGTTTGAGACCCTCTTTTCCCATGTAGATGGGGATGGTTCAGTCAATGAAGTACTCACAGAGCGGGGGCATGGTTCAGTCAAGTACCTGTTGTGCAAGCAGGAGACACAAGTCAGATCCCCAGAACGCAAGGAGAAAAGCTGGGTGTGTTAACACACACTTGTAATGCCAGGGACCACTGGGTTATCGAAAGTAAAGATGTGTGTGGTACCTGAGGTATGACCCTTGAGATTGGTCCCGGACCTCCACATAGGAAAGCACACATGCGCATATGCAGTTCTGTGGACAAGTATGCCACCCTGAACCTGCACACACACACACACACATACACACATGCACACACATGCACACACACACATACACACATGCACACACATGTGGGCATATACAGTTGTGTGGACAAGTATGGCACCCTAAACACACACACACACACACACACGCACACACACACGCTAGCACAACACATGGCCAAAGCTATGCAAGAAATTCTCCACAGAACTGATGCCGTTGCCAGGAGACCAGCCCTTCTGCCTTGCTTCTGAGCCACCTGTTGCCCCCTCCAAGCCTCTGCCGGCCGCTCTTGGGAAGGGGCAGGTGATACTCCAGACAGCGGCTCACTCTGTCATCATAGGATTTCCTAACTTGTAACTCCGCCAAGATACAATTTGTGAGTGGGATTGTGATAAAGCTATAATTACTACCGGGCAGAGCATGGTTTTCCTTCAGCAAATACAGTGTGTCTGCTCCAGGCATGGGAAGGAACACATCCCAAGGTGTTGTGCGAGCTTAGGATCACCATGACGGGGTGAAGGGCGTGTAAACAAGTTGTGTGGACCACCGAAGCTGGTGCCGCCCGGGGTGGGAAACTGGAGTGAGTCCTGTCTGCTTTGGGAGAACCAGCAGTGTGTGGGGAAGACAGGCGATGCTGGTACTGATATTAATAATTAAACAGGAACCGCCATGCCAAGTCACTGCTCACATTATTTAGCCCTCTGTAAAGTGGGCAGTCGCTCGGCTCTGTGATGTGGAAGCTGGGCTGGGATTTAATGAAGACTTGGTTTTGTCTACCCATTTCTAAGGTAGGAATAAGCAGAGAAGGGTGTTTGCACCGGTGGGAACCGGCAGTGTTGAGACACAGGTGGGGAAGCCAGAGGCGTCTGCTGAAACCGCGCAGGTTCGTTGGGTGGGAGCATGGAAAGGTCGAAGGCAGTTACAGACGGGTGTGATGGAGCAGCACGGGCTCCGCAGGGGAGAGAACAAAACAGGTTTGCTGGGTTACTTCCCCGTCGCTGCAACCAAACAAGAAGCTGGGGTTCGCGTAGGTTCTGAGGGTCCGACTCAGGTCCTCGTAAGTGCACTGCCAGCTGTCGCCCAGCCCTGTCTCCTTCCTGTGACCGTGAAGCGTAGAAGTGTGCTTTTCTTGTGAAGGGCGGGGCTCTTCAGTGTCGTCATCGTTTGTCCTAGTCTCTCCATTGCAGGGCACGCTAAGCCTCACTCACTGCCTGCCAGTGCCTCCACTGGGGCTTACCTGGGCTCCATCCACTCCTAAATCTGTACCCGGAGCCTTGAATACAGGCTTCTGATAACCTCCCGACTCCTCCAGTCCAGGGTCTGTGAACAAGGTTTGCACAAACCGCCTGAAACCTCACGCTCCCAGCAGATGGCTCCATGGCCCCCCGTAACCACCTCAGACAGCACCTCATTTGCTGTTGACTGAGACGCAATAGCACCCGCACTTGAGGCTGAGTCCCATGTGGGCAGCGAAGGAATGAAGGGGCCCTGTACACCCCTGACCGGTAACACACTTCCCAATGGGGGTCCATAATGTGCATGTGCAGACAGTAAACTACACGCCAAACTCTGAGTGAGTCTGAGGTAACGGCACACGCCATAGTACTTTATGTCACAGTCCTCAATTTCCTGTTGCCCACAGCTGGAGAGGGAAGGGAAAGCCCTCCTCCACACAAGACATCTTATTTATATCAACAGTTTAATAAGCCCCGCCCCCACCCTGTGCAAACACTCTCCACATGTGGCAACTGAGGACTTTAACATATGAAACCAGATCCTTGTTCTTGTCAGTGCTTTCACAATTGTGCATATGTAAATGTTTGCTTAGTATTTAAATAGAAATGGAATTTTGCCACATTTAATTTTTGCTTCATTAGGATAAAAAACATAAGGCAGGAAACATTCTTTCGGTTTTGACTCAAGGCCTCTCTGTTTAGACCTTGCCTAGTACTCTCCGTACAGACCAAGCGGACCTTGAACTCATGGTGATCCTCCTGCCTCTGCATCCCAAATTCTAGTATTACAAGTGAAACTCAGCTTTCATCTATTTTATTCAGCATATACTCTACAGGGCTTCAATTCCCCGTACCAAGTTCTGGAATCTTTCACCATGGGGCTGTCCTCAGATAACCGAAAGCCGTGAGGAAAGAATGACAGAGCAGGGAAGAAAGCGGCAGGGTAGGAATGGCTCGGGAGTGGGCAGAGTTTGCACCCATCACCACCCAAGGATCCAGGGATGCGTCAGACAAGAGCCAGATGGGGAATGAGAGCAGTGACGAAACTTCAGAGCAAACGGAAGACCAACTCCGATTTCACCCACTGGCCAGTGCCTTTGCACAAGGTTCACCTAGGTCACTGTCTGTGTCCTCACTTGGAGAAGGGATGCTCCCACCTTGCAGAGCTATGGGGACAAGCCCAGGCTCAGATGATCACCTGGGCGCACGGCAGGGTATCGTCTTCCCAGATCCTTCTTGGTCCTGTCCTTCATGAGATAGAGACGGTGGCAATGGCGAGACTTGGGAGTCTCCACAACTGATGAGTCCTCCCTGTTGCAAAGCAGTGAGAAACCCTCTCGATAGCCGAGGGTTATTTCCCATGGGATTGGGTGTGCATGAAAGGTATGGAAAACTAGATATGTAGTGTGGAGCCAGAGTCCAAACTCAAGCAATAATCGTTTATTTTCCACAAGTATGACAATCTGGCATAACAGGTGGTGTGTAGGCAAATCCTTTGCCAAGATAGATTATGTCAGGTTAAAATGGGTCTAGTATTTCTGGCTACTGTCCAGTAAAAGCCACCCCCTACACACACACACACACACACACACACACACACACACACACACACACACACACACGTGAATCTTAGCCCCTATACCCGTGCTTTCTCATCTCTCATACAAAATGCTCTTTGTGGCCCACTTTGTCCTTGGTTTAAAACACTGGGTTCACCCACCCAGCAGCAAAGGAGGAAGTGGGTTTTTGTTGCCGTAACTTAGGCAAGGGGGTAAGGCAAGTCCACTGCATTGGAGCAGATGAGGAACCATTTCAAGCTTTCAGAAGCTCGTCTCAGCTGATAAAATCTTCCCTAGAACTGTGGAAACATGAACAGAACCACTGATAGGATAAATGAAGCTGCAGTGACCCCATGAGGGCATGTGACAGCTGAGAAATCACACGTACTGGGGGAGGTCAGAAACAAGGAAATGACAAGGTCGCTTCCAACTCCTCCCAAGAACCTCCCAAGAAGATGGCTACATAATAGGCCCATGGTGTTTACGGGGAAGTGTTGTGATGATATATTACTTGTGACTTATTAAAACTCGCCTTAGGATTCAGAAGGCAAAGTCAGCCTCAAGCTGTAGAGATCGGGCAGTGGTGGTACACACCATTAATCCCAGGACTCAGGATTAAGAGGTAGACAGATCTCTGTGAGTCCAAGGTCACCCAGATCTACACAGAGTGATCCAGTCCTAAAGAGAAACAGCTCACACAAAGTTGACCTCAGCACCTGGGATCACACGCCTTTAACCCCAGCACTAGAGGGGCATAAAAGACAGGAGCAGGGTCTTCAGTGGTCAGTATCGGGCATTCATTCTCCAGCCACACTGAGGATAGGAAGACACTGAAGTCTCAGCATTCTCCAGCCACACTGAGGATAGGAAGACACTGAAGTCTCAGCATTCTCCAGCCATGCCAAGGAGAGGTTACAGTCTGAGGTTTGGTGGAGCCAGGATCGCATTCAGTCTGAGGTAGAGTAAGAGCTAGTGCCTGGCTGCTTTGCTTTTCTGATCTTCAACCTGAAGCTTGAACCCCAATATCAGTCTCTAGGTCTTTCATTTTTTTGTGCATCTTTGAGATGGAGAAAATGTAACTAAATGTTACTGCCCTCTAGCTTCCTTCTTCAACTTACTTACAATTATTTTACCAATTACGTTTTGCATTAAATATTGCCTCATCACATCACAGATGAGGAGCATATTCAAGTCTAAATTGCAGGATGTGTGATCATCCGAGGGAACTAAGTATTACTCTTTAGTAGCACCTCGACACAGTCACATGGTAGATGCCCATTATTTCTGAGTGAATTCACCCATCCCTTCACTCATATATCATACTAATGTATAGAAGCCTTGTAACTTCATATGGTCATCATATTCTCCTGCCACCATTGTCTGTCATGGAGCACAAAGTATGGATGTCCAACACAGAGTAGACATGAAACTAGGTGGGATTTTCTTCACGCGTGATCTTGGTGTAACGAGAAGGATGCTGGTTGTTACCTGGCCATGCTTATCCCCCACCAAGAGACTGCTTTGTGTATTAAAATGTACGTGTTTTCTATTCCTGTCCCAGATGGTTTTTGTCGGTCAAAGTCTTTGTCAGAGAGAGGGAGAAAGAAGAGAAGAGGATAGCAGAAGAAACAAGAGTTGTAATAGATTCTCTTCAACATTCATACACAGACCTAGGTCCTCAGAACCCCACAGCAGGACATTACGCATTTCAGTGTCTCGGGGAGACATGACTCTTAGTTTGTGGACTATTTAAGGTCCACAAACTTCAGGGCAGGTGTTTCAGGGCAGGTGTGAAGAGCTGGAGGCTCTGCCACCATGGAGACATTTGCTCATGGTTCTAAGAGGCAGTGATGTCCAGATGTGAGGTTGTTGTCATAAAGGCTGCTTTCCTGGGTTACAGGCACCCCACCCTCTGAACTGCCCTCTATGGTCCCAATGTGAGTTTGTCTCAGATTCTTAGCCAATATAAACATTGGCAATGCTGACACTTACATTTTGCAGAAGAAATTTCTTTTTAATGACAGTGTGGCAAAGAAATCATTAAATTTGATGAACCGAACGAAGATAGTTGGATTAGCAGGTGAGGTCACTTTAAAAAGAAAGTCTTCCTTGAAGGTCAGCTGTGGTCACTGCCTGACACCATGGTCTGTTACCTAGGAAAGAAAACAGATGTCCCTGCTGACTGAGGTGAAGGACTCTCTGGAGGCCCTGACCGGCGACACCGAAATCATTAAGCAGGAGCCTGAAATGCAGAAGGAAGAGATGTAAGGCTGGCATGAATGGGGCAAGCAGGGTCTGCTTTAGAGGGATACTGGCGAAACGCAGACCTCAGGGTTTACAAACTACCGGGGAGAGGGTGTGAGACGGCTCAGAAGGCGAGAGTGTTTGTCTTTCAAGCCTGGGGACTTGGGTTTGACCCCAGAACCTACACTGCAGAACCAGGGAACAAAGCAGGGCGTTGGTGGCTCATTCCTTTAATCTCAGCACTGGGGAGGCAGAGGCAGGTGGATCTCTGTGAGTTAGAGGCCAGCCTGGTTTACAAGAGCTAGTTCCAAGACAGCCTCCAAAGCCACAGAGAAACCCTGTCTGGAAAAAAAACAAAAAAAAATTCTGTCTGACCTCCAGATGCATAAATAAGAGGCACACATGCACGGCACCTCTTTCTCTCCCTCCTCCTCCCTCCATCTCCCTCCCTCCCTCTTCCTCCTTTTCCCACCCTCCACTCCCTCTCTCTTCCTACCCCCTCTCTCCCCTTCCCTCCCTCCAATGAGTAAATTAAACAATTTAGGAAGTGTTTAGAACTAGAAATTGCATGAGTTTCCTAAATACAGCAGGCGATCACAGCATTAGCTATTGTGTTCTCTAAGTCCCTGGCCCCTGAGCAGTACAAAGTCTCCAGGACAGAACTCGGCCATGAAATCCTGGGTGAGATTTCACAGCTCCCATCGAATGGGCCAAGGCCGTGATCTTAACAGCTTGACTGTAGCAGGTGTGGAGGTTTGGTGTGTTCCCAGCACACTGGAGGCTGAGGAAGGAACCCTGGGCTATAGTGTGAGATTCTCAAAACACCGAAACTGTAGCACAGCCACCAACAACAACAAAACGTACGCGATGAGCATTAAAACACTCCTAGAATTCAGTCTCGGAAATGTTTGTGGGGACAGCATATAAAATTTTCACGGCTCTGCCACAGCTGTAAACCATTTCCTCAGCAGAAGCACTGGCAGTGGTTTCCTTTCGGCTCTCGAGGGTCCATGACTGGACGCTGCCTCGGCTCTCGAGGGTCCATGACTGGACGCTGTCTCAGCTCTCGAGGGTCCATGACTGGATGACGGCATGGAGGAAGGGTGTATCTGAGGAAAGCAGAGATGGGAGGAGGTCAGAGCAGGGTGTAAACCCCAGGGCCTGGTCCCATGACCCACTTCCTCCAGCATGCCCCACCTGCCCAAGTTCCCCTCCTTATGAATCCATCAGCTGATGACCCCATTCACTGGGACGGACCCATCTCGCCTCGCCATCTCTTGAAACTCATAGACACATGCAGAGGTGTGAGCTCCACTGATCTCCTCGGCCTCTCCCATGCCAATCCTGTTACACTCAAGATTAGCCATGAAGTAAGTGCTCTGAGGAGTGGACCAAAGAGAAGTAATCTGGGAAGCAAGGAAGTCAGTTCCCGATTCCCAGCAAATACTGTAGACACAGCCATGGCATGGGATGGCTGAACAGGCCCTGCTTTATAGAACGATGAAAGGACACATGGACTTTTGTTCCTGTTTAATCTTCACAAGCACGGGCACACATGAGCAAACCCACGCACATGTGTGCATACACACACACACACACACACACACACACGCACACGCACACGCACACATACAACCACCAGTTTCTCTGAGACCACTAGAAGGGGACTGATGTAGAGTCCATCATAAGTCTTGTCCTGAGATCAATCATGACAATACTATTTAGCTTGTGGAGCAATTATGCTATAGTTTTGGGACTTTGTTCAAATCATTGTGTGAGACTTAATGAACACTTTTCTTTTAAAAACCAAAAGGAGATGCACGTTCCTAGAAGTCACTCATCACAGTGGGACTTGAAAATCATTGTCCTTCCCTCATTTATGGTTTCCATAAGACACAGATGGGGGATTTTTGCACACATAATTTTGTCACTATTGGAAAGTTAGTTTAGCAGCTGCAGGAATTCAAGGAAGTGGCCATATCAGTGAATAGGCATTAAGGTATTTTGCAGAAAGACAAATACTCCTGAAAGAAATGTATTTAAAAAGCTAAGAAGGAAACCCTAAAGTCCCTGACTGCAGGCATTATACTGATTATTATAAAATTTTAACTTTCAAAACCATCCACAAGAGAATCTGTTGGTCTTTAATGTAAGATAGAATACACAACGAGACAAGGCTAATAACATCCATTCACATAGCCAGCACTAGAGTTTGGGAATGCCGGCTTCTCCTGGTAGATGTGTGATAGTTAGCAAGCAGAATTCTGAGTAATACCCCGCGCTTTCTGTACGCAGGCATTTTAATTTTCTTACTTTGTTCATCGTTGTCTGGTACACAGAGGAGAAGAGAAACCTGGAAACCTGATTCCAGCAAAACAACCATCTTCGGTCCACTTCTTCCCGAAGATGATAGATTTGGACACCGTGCCAATACAGTCGTCACAGTCATTTTCCCACGAAATGCCGCTCGGCTTCTACCATGCCCCTAGTGTTCAGAATAGCGGTCTAAGCTTCTCATCGGCAGGACTGCTGACTTCCAAGTCTACCATCCTGAGCATCACCCGAAGAGACACCAGCCTGACAAAGCAGAGTAGGTACCGAGCGTCTGAGACTGTCCCCACGGCATGTTCTGACTGGCTCTTTATTTACGTCCTTGCCTGAGAGTTGTGCTACCATTTGTTCCTAGTGATGTCTGTTTCTCAGTCCCCGCAAGGAAGGAGTCCACAGCTGCCGTGGCGGCTTGTGGGTCTAATCTGCAGCCGCCGTGATGATGGCTGATGGGTCTACCGTTAGCGTGGTCTAGAATTGTTAGAGGACTGACATTTGCCATGTAGATTCCTAAGGACCTTCCCCTGGATGCTAGAAAGATCAAGATGCTGCCTAGAGCTACCATGATGGTCAGCGGGTCAGTTGTTAGCATGTTCTCTGACTGATTGCGAACTCAAGTTCCCAGTGTACAGTTCCCAGGATCCTTCTGATGAGCAAGTACTGCTGTGGGCTTTAGCACTGTCTAGCAGCGAGAAGGGGGCACAAAGAGAACAGGAAGGAGCAGAAACTGTGTGGTCGACTCTGGCGCCAGCAGGGCACTGAGCCAGGTGGGCTGTGGAGTTTACTGCTGGGTGGCGCTGTCCTGGCAAAGGCAGAGCCAGCTCTTTTTGGTCCTCTACAGAGTGAGGAGGGAAGATACTTGGCAGCCTTGTCTCTGATGCTCCACACCTGCAGAGCGGAGATTGAAACGCCAGCTTCACAGGGTCTGCTAAGCTTGACACGTGTGTAGGAACCCAGCGCATAGCCAACATGTGCAACCCTTAGCCTACCTGTAAGCTCCTTCTAGAACAATCTACATTTGACCTGTGGGCCCATGGCTTCCAAATGCTTCACTCCCTCTGCTCTGTGGACGTTTATAGTCTGGCCAGTTCTCATCTGTGTTATTTCTATTTATTTCTGGTATTTTCCTAGGCTTCAACATGATGTTCTGTACATTTGTGTGTGGCTCTCATGATGGTCACAGCATTATTCGCCATTGTTTTCGTGACTAAGATGGATCATCCAAAGACACCTGTTAAATTCTTGCTGACCTTAACCCTTGACCAACATGCGGAGTGTTACATACGCAAATACAAGCTTTAGATCTAAGAAGGAAAAGTTGCATCTATGGTGCTATGCAGACCATTGTGTTTGCTCTGTGTTGGGATTAAACCACGAAACCCCCTGATAATGGGAACAAAGCATAGTGGCTTCACTCTGCAGGGCAAGAGTTAGGATGGCATGCAGTCTTCTCCCAGAACTGCCACAGAATCCTCTGCTGCAGATTTAGGCCTATACACTGGACATGCTGCACCCGTTCACTGCCATCTGTGGTCCTCAAGGAACTAAAAGCAAGAGCTTGGTTAATGCCTGCTCTCCTTTGAGAACACAAGCATTCATTCCTCAGGAGGGAGATGCTGTGGAGAGAGATGCTGTGGAGAGAGACGCTGTGGAGAGATGCTGTGGAGAGAGATGCTGTGGAGAGAGACGCTGTGGAGAGATGCTGTGGAGAGATGCTGTGGAGAGATGCTGTGGAGAGATGCTGTGGAGAGAGATGCTGTGGAGAGATGCTGTGGAGAGATGCTGTGGAGAGATGCTGTGGAGAGATGCTGTGGAGAGATGCTGTGGAGAGAGATGCTGTGGAGAGATGCTGTGGAGAGATGCTGTGGAGAGAGACGCTGTGGAGAGATGCTGTGGAGAGAGACGCTGTGGAGAGATGCTGTGGAGAGATGCTGTGGAGAGATGCTGTGGAGAGATGCTGTGGAGAGAGACGCTGTGGAGAGATGCTGTGGAGAGAGACGCTGTGGAGAGATGCTGTGGAGAGAGACGCTGTGGAGAGAGACGCTGTGGAGAGACGCTGTGGAGAGAGACGCTGTGGAGAGAGACGCTGTGGAGAGAGACGCTGTGGAGAGAGACGCTGTGGAGAGAGACGCTGTGGAGAGAGATGCTGTGGAGAGAGACGCTGTGGAGAGAGACGCTGTGGAGAGATGCTGTGGAGAGAGATGCTGTGGAGAGATGCTGTGGAGAGACACTGTGGAGAGATGCTGTGGAGAGAGATGCTGTGGAGAGAGATGCTGTGGAGAGATGCTGTGGAGAGAGACGCTGTGGAGAGATGCTGTGGAGAGATGCTGTGGAGAGACGCTGTGGAGAGAGACGCTGTGGAGAGACGCTGTGGAGAGAGACGCTGTGGAGAGATGCTGTGGAGAGAGACGCTGTGGAGAGACACTGTGGAGAGACGCTGTGGAGAGAGACGCTGTGGAGAGACACTGTGGAGAGACGCTGTGGAGAGAGACGCTGTGGAGAGAGACGCTGTGGAGAGAGATGCTGTGGATAGAGGTTGCTGTGGAGAGATGCTGTGGAGAGATGCTGTGGAGAGAGACGCTGTGGAGAGATGCTGTGGAGAGAGACGCTGTGGAGAGACGCTGTGGAGAGAGACGCTGTGGAGACAGACGCTGTGGAGAGATGCTGTGGAGAGAGACGCTGTGGAGAGACACTGTGGAGAGAGACGCTGTGGAGAGAGACGCTGTGGAGAGATGCTGTGGAGAGAGACGCTGTGGAGAGAGACGCTGTGGAGAGAGACGCTGTGGAGAGAGACGCTGTGGATAGAGGTTGCTGTGGAGAGATGCTGTGGAGAGATGCTGTGGAGAGAGACGCTGTGGAGAGAGACGCTGTGGAGAGAGATGCTGTGGAGAGAGACGCTGTGGAGAGACGCTGTGGAGAGAGATGCTGTGGAGAGATGCTGTGGAGAGAGACGCTGTGGAGAGATGCTGTGGAGAGAGACGCTGTGGAGAGATGCTGTGGAGAGAGACGCTGTGGAGAGAGATGCTGTGGAGAGAGACGCTGTGGAGAGAGACGCTGTGGAGAGAGATGCTGTGGAGAGAGACGCTGTGGAGAGAGACGCTGTGGAGAGAGATGCTGTGGAGAGATGCTGTGGAGAGACACTGTGGAGAGACGCTGTGGAGAGAGACGCTGTGGAGAGATGCTGTGGAGAGATGCTGTGGAGAGATGCTGTGGAGAGAGATGCTGTGGAGAGAGATGCTGTGGAGAGATGCTGTGGAGAGAGATGCTGTGGAGAGAGACGCTGTGGAGAGATGCTGTGGAGAGATGCTGTGGAGAGATGCTGTGGAGAGATGCTGTGGAGAGATGCTGTGGAGAGAGATGCTGTGGAGAGAGATGCTGTGGAGAGAGACGCTGTGGAGGGAGATGCTGTGGAGAGAGACGCTGTGGAGAGAGACGCTGTGGATAGAGGTTGCTGTGGAGAGATGCTGTGGAGAGATGCTGTGAGAGAGACGCTGTGGAGAGATGCTGTGGAGAGATGCTGTGGAGAGAGACGCTGTGGAGAGATGCTGTGGAGAGAGACGCTGTGGAGGAGATGCTGTGGAGAGAGACGCTGTGGAGAGAGATGCTGTGGAGAGAGACGCTGTGGAGAGAGACGCTGTGGAGAGAGATGCTGTGGAGAGATGCTGTGGAGAGAGACGCTGTGGAGAGATGCTGTGGAGAGAGACGCTGTGGAGAGAGATGCTGTGGAGAGATGCTGTGGAGAGAGATGCTGTGGAGAGAGACGCTGTGGAGAGATGCTGTGGAGAGAGATGCTGTGGAGAGAGATGCTGTGGAGAGATGCTGTGGAGAGAGATGCTGTGGAGAGATGCTGTGGAGAGAGACGCTGTGGAGAGATGCTGTGGAGAGAGACGCTGTGGAGAGATGCTGTGGAGAGATGCTGTGGAGAGAGACGCTGTGGAGGGAGACGCTGTGGAGAGAGACGCTGTGGAGAGAGATGCTGTGGAGAGATGCTGTGGAGAGATGCTGTGGAGAGAGACGCTGTGGAGAGATGCTGTGGAGAGAGATGCTGTGGAGAGAGATGCTGTGGAGAGATGCTGTGGAGAGAGACGCTGTGGAGAGAGACGCTGTGGAGAGAGATGCTGTGGAGAGAGACGCTGTGGAGAGACGCTGTGGAGAGAGATGCTGTGGAGAGATGCTGTGGAGAGAGATGCTGTGGAGAGAGACGCTGTGGAGAGATGCTGTGGAGAGAGATGCTGTGGAGAGATGCTGTGGAGAGAGACGCTGTGGAGAGATGCTGTGGAGAGAGATGCTGTGGAGAGATGCGTAGATGCTGTGGAGAGATGCTGTGGAGAGAGATGCTGTGGAGAGATGCTGTGGAGAGAGATGCTGTGGAGAGAGACGCTGTGGAGAGAGATGCTGTGGAGAGAGACGCTGTGGAGAGATGCTGTGGAGAGAGATGCTGTGGATAGAGGTTGCTGTGGAGAGAGACGCTGTGGAGAGATGCTGTGGAGAGAGACGCTGTGGAGAGAGACGCTGTGGAGAGACACTGTGGAGAGACGCTGTGGAGAGAGATGCTGTGGAGAGAGATGCTGTGGAGAGAGATGCTGTGGAGAGATGCTGTGGAGAGAGACGCTGTGGAGAGAGACGCTGTGGAGAGAGATGCTGTGGAGAGAGATGCTGTGGAGAGATGCTGTGGAGAGAGATGCTGTGGAGAGATATGCTGTGGAGAGATATGCTGTGGAGAGAGACGCTGTGGAGAGAGACGTTGTGGAGAGAGATGCTGTGGAGAGATGCTGTGGAGAGACACTGTGGAGAGACGCTGTGGAGAGAGACGCTGTGGAGAGATGCTGTGGATAGAGGTTGCTGTGGAGAGATGCTGTGGAGAGAGATGCTGTGGAGAGAGACGCTGTGGAGAGAGATGCTGTGGAGAGAGATGCTGTGGAGAGAGATGCTGTGGAGAGACGCTGTGGAGAGAGATGCTGTGGAGAGAGATGCTGTGGAGAGAGATGCTGTGGAGAGACGCTGTGGAGAGAGATGCTGTGGAGAGAGAGTGATGTGGAGTGAGATACTGTGGGTTACTCTCTCTGAAGGAACAGAAAGATTTATTGCTCACTGGGCTGCTGGTGCTAAATTCTAGTGTTCCTTCTGAACAAAATCCTTTGAGGACCCCTCTTTAGTCATCAGGGCTGTTGATACAGTTTGGTGACTCAAGATGTTCTCAGTGTACCTGAGGCCCTCGGCACAGCCTTATCACTACAACAACAAAAATATTTATTCCCTCACACAAGTTGGCTTTCTTTGCTTTTATGCTTTGATGATTCTGGGCCCAGGATCACATAAGGAAGACCCTTACCGTATGGTAGCTCTCATTTTCCCAGTGCCAGCTAAAGACCAGACACCTGATTTACCTCTAGTCCCCATTTTCCCCTGCAGAAGGTATTGTTGCACTCAAGGGGGAGTTTTAATCTGGGCAGTAGAGCAAGCATTAAATTTAGAGTAAGACTGTGTTTGTAAATGTAATACCCAAATTTGGTAGATTCAGTATTTACTCAGGAATACAGACGGTCCCTAGTACAGCTAGAAAGTCAGCTAAGCACCCAGCGTGCTCACAACAGGGAACAAAGAAGGAAGGTGAGCTCCACAGGAGGCCAGAGCCAAGATGGCTGCACAGTCCATGCAAGAGCCACTCAACACCTGGACATTTAAGATGACTAGACAGTCTGTAGCCAGTGAGGAGATTTGAAAATAGCCACTTCCAACTGCTGTAGAGACTCAACCTGTGCTTGTAATTCTTCTCACTGAGTCTGACGGTGGCAGTGAAGCCTATAAAGAAGCGTACTTCTGTAAACAAGGGAGCAAAGATAATGCCCTTGGATTCTCTTGATGTCGACTTATATGTCTGTCTCACTTGCTTGTCCAATTTCTTTGAAAGGCACAAGCATCACGATTCCAAAGAAACAGCCCCTACCGAGCCTTGACTCAGATACGCTTGTGTTGGGGGAAGGAGAGGATTACTTCCTTTCTTTGTTTGGAGACTCGAGGAAACTCACTGTGCATTCGTCCCAGACTGAGGATGTGACCAAGCACCTCTCTGTGATCCTTGAAGAAGTTGGCCAGTTCACATCCAGGTACACATTTGAATCACTTCCCATCTCCTGCCGAGGGCCGAGGTCATAGATCAGGAAAAAGCAGAGCTCTGAGCTGTTAGTAGATCCTTTTAGTCACCAAAACCCTAAAGAAGTCCTTGAACTGCAGCCACCTGTGTTCCGAGCTGTCAGAAACAACCGATAGAAGTTTCTAGGGGACCAACCAAGGGATATGAATTTCCCAAAGATTCCAGTTCATAGCGTGTCAGCCGCTTGCTCACACTGAGGCCGTTTACTGCTGGCCAGTAGATCCAGGGTTCTTTCTTCTATCAGTCTTCAGTTCAATACAAGAACAAGGTGAAGCCGGGCGGTGGTGACGGAAGCCTTTAATCCCAGCACTCGGGAGGCAGAGGCAGGCGGATCTCTGTGAGTTCGAGGCCAGGCTGGACCAACAGCCTCCAAAACAAAACAATACAGAGAAACCCTGTCTCGTAAAACAAAAAAAAAAAAAAAAAAAAAAAAGAACAAGGTGATATTTTACACCAGTGATCCCTCTTTACGGTTGTCAGTCTCTATGAACAGGAGTGACCAAGAAGAAAGTCATGATTGGGACTAAAAGGAGCATGGTTGGCCTGTTTCTTAGCCCTCAGTCTATGAAAAGAGTTGATGACACAAAGGCATGCAGACAGGGGAGCACGGGAGAGGGGAGCAGGGGAGAGGGGAGCAGGAGAGCAGGGTGCCAGTTCCCCTTCCGCCATATTTCCAGTCACTCAAGCCCTGTGCGCCGTTGTACTGATAATGGAGGGAACCATTTGAGGATACTCTATCAAAATCAGTGTCTATCATAGTAGAAGTGGTGATTAAGACAAAGGTGTAGAAAGACTTTTTAATACTTCTAAATACAAGTGTGTGCGTGTGCATACGTACACGTGCACACACACTCAGGTACACTATCGCCTCCCTAGATCCTAGCCCTAGCCCCATCAGAGAACCCGCTGGTTCTGTGTGGTTCCCTCTCTTTGGGGAGAGTGTATATAAGCTCAGCCCATTGTGCTCCCATCTGTTAGGCATCGCCACCTGCCATGGATCGATATCTTCAGAAACATTTGTGTTTATCGTGTTCTCGGCTGTCTGGCGTGGGGTAGAAACTCCACTCCCTCCTCTTGTCACAGTTGGGTGTTTTCAGTCAAAGCTGTTGTTTACCGTGTTCTCGGCTGTCTGGCGTGGGGTAGAAACTCCACTCCCTCCTCTTGTCACAGTTGGGTGTTTTCAGTCAAAGCTGTTGTTTACCGTGTTCTCGGCTGTCTGGCGTGGGGTAGAAACTCCACTCCCTCCTCTTGTCACAGTTGGGTGTTTTCAGTCAAAGCTGTTGTTTACCGTGTTCTCGGCTGTCTGGCGTGGGGTAGAAACTCCACTCCCTCCTCTTGTCACAGTTGGGTGTTTTCAGTCAAAGCTGTTGTTTCTTTCCCACCACCACCCACCGTCTCTGGGGATCGCTTTAATATTTGCCAACTGGAAAGAAAAACACAAAGGTTTGTAGGCAAACGGGACATGAAGTAGAGAGGGTGTTAGAGCTCCCACCAGTCACGCATGTGAGCACTGCCTGTATCTGAGCCCTGCTGAGCTTAGCTCCCGTGAGCAGACGTCTCTAAGAGGGCAGCCTGCCCATCTACCCTCCACCTCTACCTGAGCATAGTTTGCTGTCTGCTGCTGCGATAAAACACTCTGACCAAGCAGACCAGGGGAGGAAAGGGTTCATCTGACTTATACTCCAGGTCAGAATCCATCCTCGACGGCTCTCGGAGCAGGAAGGAAAGCGGGAACCATGGTGGAACTCTGCTTGATGGTTCACTCTGGCTCACGCTCACCTGACTCTCCTAGACAGCCCCGGACCATTTCCCCAAGGATTGGTGCTGCCCACAGTGGGCTGAGCCCTCCTACACCCATTAACAATCAAGAAAACACCCCCCAGACACACCCGGAGGCAATCTGATCTCCATCAAGGCTCCACTCTCTGATGACCCTACCCTGCATCAAATTGACAACCAAAGCTGAGTAGTGCTCCCAAGAGGCTTCCTGATTCTTTAGGTCCAGAGTCAGAAGGGGTGAGCTTGGGACTGAGACGGGCTCCGGCCATGATTCCTGCATGGACATCTATTCTCCCATACAACGGGTGAGGCTGCAAAACTCCTCCTGTCCCCAGAGGCCTCTGGTTCAGACTAAGCGCATCACCCTTCCTGGTGGAAGACTGTCCCCACTAGACACCACTGCCACCCCATACACACCCAATTACACACTCAAACGTCACTTGTAGCATTACTGAGACTGTTACAGACAGTCAGGAACTGACCACAAATCACAGAGTGACAGAAACTTGAAAGCCAAAAAGCAGCATGGCACGGTCAGGAAGCCAACACTCCACAGGTTCCCGCTAAAGGAAAGGGATGTGACGTTCGTTTCCTGGTGGTACAGCCTTGTGTCTTCCCCATGTCCTTACAAATTAAATGCATGCCAGAGCTGCAGACAGGAAGATGGGCACATCAGCCTCCACCTTCGGCCCACCAGGATTACAAGCAGAAGCCCCCACTCAGCCAACCAGGATTGCAAGCAGAAGCCTCAAGGCACCTATCCTAGTTAGGACGCATGCAAAGCTCTCAGGGAAGAGAAAGGACAAGGACTGAAGGCTGTGACATCAGATTAGCAGCAGCCTTGGAATTTCCATGTGCCATGTGAAGCATCTGCTGTAGCATTTGGTATCACATTAGAAGGTGAGTCAAGTTCCCTGAACGCAAACAGCCCTCTTCCAGACAGCCCAAGAGTCTTATAGGTGTGCATAAAGACAAAGCTAGGATAATAAAAAAAAACTTCACCTGGCCATACAAGATTTTTTTTAAAGAAGCAACTACAAATATTTGATTATATATGCTATGGCCAACTTATTCACCTACTTAAAAACAAATCTCAAATGGAGACCATTTAGTGAGGCGAGGCAAAGGTAGTCCGAGAAGCAAACATGTGTACTATAAGAAAATTAAAAATGGGCCCCGTGGCTAAGAGCCCTGGCTGCTCCTGTAGAGGGTCCGAGTTTGGCTCCCCCAGAACCCACGTGGCCCTTCACAACCGCCCATGGCTCCAGCCCCAGGTGATCCGGTGCCCTCTTGTGGCCTCTGCGGGCTCCTGCACTCACGTGGCGCACATCATCGGACACAGGCAACCATTTACACACGTAAATACAGCAAATAAATAAAACTTGAAAAATAAAGCCATCCCACCGAGAGAGCTCAGTACCAGTAAGATGAGAATGGTGTCACAGGACCCTGGGATTTGAAAGAAGAGAAAAAAGATGCAGCCACAAATCAGTCAGAGCCGTAAATCCTAACCCAACAGGACAAAAGAGTTGAGGGGATGGGGTCACGGAAGTTCAGAGGGGAGTCTCTGTGAAGCAGCTGCTCACACGCCGGCAGCGGCCGCGTGAAGAGAGGCAGCTGTCTGGAAGAGAGTGCACAGAAGAGCACGCTCATGCCGCCTCTGTCAGGGGCTGGGACTAGAGGGACTGCCCAGGGTCTGGAGACACTCAACAGTTACCCTTTGAAAGTAACAGGCAAGGGCCTGAGCAGTGAGAGACTCTGTCGTGATTGATTTTTAAAGTAGAATCGGCATTTAGGAGGTGTCGAGGACAAGGATAAACCTCAGGTTTCCAATGAGAATGTCAGAGGGTACATCCGGAGGTTAAACAAACTGCGTTGAGCAAGCCTAGTCCCCAGCCACTTCGCGCTGATTCAGCAACACTAATGTGAGCTTGTTTGTCATAAAACTTAGATGGCTGCCAGAAGCAATGTTTTAACAAAACGTTATGCAGAGCCTTAAGTGATCTCTCTGCAGAGTTTAAATATTTGATACCAGAAACTAAGTGAAACCAACAACATGTACAGGAAGGAAAGGTCAATCACAAAACAGATTCCAGAAGCAGGCATAGAAAATGAGATGGTGTAGGCCTCTAAGGATTCAAACAAGCAGTGATTGAACAGTTCTGAGAACTTTGGGACAAGATGAAAATGTCAGCCTAGATCTCCACACTAGAAGTCAAAGAACCAAAGGTGGGCTCTACAAGAAATATCCAGCAGCAGAGCCTGACATTCCCATCCACAGGTTTAACAGTGCTTTGGGTTAGGAGAAGAAATTGTTGATGAAAATATCCAGCCTGAATTATAGAGACTAAGGGGATTAGAACAACATACAGATGAGACTAGAAAGAAATCAAGGGCCGGCAAGATGGCTCAGGAGGGAATGGCACTTGCCACCAAGTGTGAAAGACCTGAGTTTGATCCCTGGTATGCCTGTGATGGGGGGGAAACCAACTCCCATAAACTGTTCTCTGACTTCCACACATATGCAGGTATGAACACATGCGTGCGCACAAACACACACGTATGCACACACACATGAGTAAATGTAGTTAAAAATGAAACTTAAAAATATAATTGTAGCTACTGAAGAATGAGGGTGACCAAGAATGACTATGTGGGTGAACTATTTTGCCAGGAAATAGTCTTTCCCAAACCACTGAAGACAACAAGCCAAAGATTCAACGAACATTGCCAGCTCACAGGACATTAAAGAAACAGGCCAACCAACACAGGTATATTCTAAAGGCTTCTAAAAGAGAATGCTTAAAAATTTAAAGATATCTTCAAAGACCAGACAAAAAGCATTGCCTCAGAGTTGATTGTAGAAGAAGAGGAGAAGGAGGAGGAGGAGAGGAAGAAGGAGAATGAGGAGAAGGAGGAGGAGGAGGAGGGAGATGATGACAAGGGACACTGAAATAAGTCTTCAAAAAGAACATTGGAACCAAACTTGCAGGCCAGATGGGCAGTGTTGTGCGTATTAGTTTTATTCTGCTGCCATAGCAAGTTGCCACCAACTTCGTGACTTAAAATAAGCAAATTAGCACCTCTCTTAGAATACAGTTTATTTGTTAAACATCTGTGTTGTGAGAGAGAGGGGGAGAGGAGGAGACAGAAGAGGGGGAGAGAGAGCACGCATGTAGAGACTGCAGAACAAGCTGTGGGATTCCCCTCTCTCCTTCTACCATGTGGAGTCCAAGGATCAGACTGGGGTTCTCAGGCTTGGCAGCCAGCGCCTTTGCCTGCTGAGTCTCAGCATCTGAGTCTCAGCGTCTGGGCCTTGCTACAGTTGTGTGGGTCATAATCCTGGATTGGTTTGTCTGATTTTTCTTCTTAGAGTTTCACAAAGTCATAGACAAGTGTCAGACACCTGAGCTCCAATCTAAGGCTCAGGGCCACGCTCTTCGAGGTTGTTAGCCAAAGGCAGTTCCTCTGACTTTGGGATTGAGGCCAGCACTTCCTGGCTGGGTGTCGTCGTGGCGTCCTCTCCTGAGGGTTTGTGCGTGGGTCCCTGTACTCACCAGCAGCAGTGTGCCTTACTTAGTTCATCCCTTCTGCTCACCTGGAGTCAGTCCCTAACTTTAAGGACTCCTTGGACTAAGGGCCTATTGAATAGCCTAGGCTAGTCTCTCTCTTAAAACCTGCTTCAGCTGTAGCTGCAAAACCTTTCCTGGTTTTCATTAGCATATTCATGGGTCCCAGGGGTGAAGGGTGGGTGGTACATCTAGGCTACCACAGAGGTCTCAGTGCTCACAACTGTACGGAACTCCAGTAGATCCCCCTCACCCTCTGGTCTCCATGACATGAGACCCCCGAGTGGTGCACACACATTCTATACATGCAGACAAAATACCCGTGCACATAAAGCATTTAAAGAATAGGAAAATCCGCTCTTATTCAGGACATAAAAGCAGCAGCTGTGGGGAGAAAAATTCAAGTCTACTGTATTAGCCATTTCTCGCTGTCACAGAGTAAGTGACATCAGTAGCTCAGGGCAGGAAGTGCTCAGACAGTTTCGGGAGATACGGACTGTCGTGACAGGAAAGCATGTTGGCAGGTGCTGCACAGAGCTGGAGTGCTGCTGGGACCTTCACCTCCTCACAGCCAGGTGGAACTAGAAGCAAGGAGGACATAGTGTAGCCGGGCTACAAACCCCACGGCCACCCGCAGTGGCCCACTTCCTCCAGCGAGGCCCACACTGTAAAGGTTCCACAACCTCACCAAACAGCGCCACCCGCTGGAGGACACATGTCCTAACACGCAAGCCAGTGGGGGACAGTTCATATCCAAACCATAGCATGTACTAAAAGAAAGGGAGTTGTAGCCTCTCCTTTTGGGATGTATGTGCACATGTTAAACATTATGCCATCAATCAGTAATGAGAATGCAAAGCAGCCTGTAGAAAAGTGAGTTAAATGGTATGGAATAGCAGTTCACCAAAAAGGAAAACTAAGTGGCCAAATCAGGGGACCAAACGGAAATAATGAGACGTTTTGTACTCTTGGTGCTAAAAAAGCTGACTTGTCTCAAATGGAAGGGTTGGCAAGCATGTGGGCAGCAGGGACAGCATTTGTGTTGGCCCTGAGAGGTGTGTGCAGTCACGTGCTCTCTCAAGGAATTCTGCCTGGTAACAGCTCAAGCCTGAGGTAAGAAGCGTGGATACGGAATGTAAGAAACTGAGAGACTAGGCAGGATGCTGCCATGCTGGGAAGTTGGTTCAGTCTCTGGGAGGAAGTCACAGTTTCCGGCGGAAACGTGGCAGTGTCAGGCTGGGTGCGCACAGAGATTGTTCTGGGAGCTAAAGGGAGAGCAATTCAAAGCGAGGGAGTGGGGGGGAGACTGGAGAAACCAGTTAGGGTGCTGTGACAGCGTCACACAGAGATAAGAGCCTGCTACAGAGGCGGTCACACAGACAAGCAGAAGGGCATGGATGGAGGAAGCTGGCTGGCGGAGTGTGGTCGCGGGAAGTCTGGAGGTGAAGAGGACAGGAATGCCATGCCAGCTCTCGGCAGTGGCACGGTTCAGTTCACAACTGGTCAGAGCTACCACCAGGGACGTGCAGGCAGCTGTTCCTGTAGGGTCTGTAAGAGTTACTCCGTGACCACCTGCAGTCTGGGGCCTCCCAGGTGAGGCCAGCCAGACCAGCCAAACCAGCAAGTTCTTCATCCAGCAAGAGCTCCTGCCTCAGTGGATAAGGTGAAGCATGATCAATGGAGACAGCCAACATCAACCTCAGGCCTCTGCATGCAAATACACGTGCCTCCCACACATGAGCATGCAAACTCATACACACGCACGCCATAGACATGTGTGTACACAAACTCATACACACACACGCCATAGACATGTGTGTACACAAAGAAATTATTTTTCAGATTCCCATAACTTTTTCAATTTGTTGGTATAGATAAGAGATTGTGAGGAGGCTGGGCGTGGGTGTCGCATGCCTTTAATCCCAGCACTCGGGAGGCAAAGGTAGGCGGATCTCTGTGAGTTTGAGGCCAGCCTAGTCTACAGAGCAAGTTCCAGGACAGCCTCCAAAACAATACAGAGAAACCCTGTCTCGAAAAAAAAAATTGTGGGGAAATAGGGACTAAGCATTGCAGGTGTGTTTTTGTCAAGTAGCTCGCATGCAAGCAGGATGAGTTATTGCAATCAACTGAGACACATCGCTGCTGTTTCTAACCAACACAGGGAAGTCATGACCTTCTGGTGTGTTGCAGGTGACACTCTATGACATGCAGATGTGTAACTGACTAGCACGTATTGTAGCATACTACAATACCATTGAGAAGCAAAAACATCATTGTATGTGTACATAATGTCACCATTCAGAATTATTTTGAGCTCACTGTGGCTATTTATCATCATGGTCACTTTTTCAAGAAAGAACCATGTGCTTTGACTTTTGATGTCTGTGGTTTAAGATTTACTATTTTTTATGTGCATGCGTGGGTGTCTGCATATATGACTGTGTACCATGTGCATGTGGTATCCTTGGAGGCCAGGAGAGGGCGTCAGATCCTCTGGAACTGGAGTCATTGGAGGTTGTGAGTTGTTGTGTGTGTTCTGGAAACCAAAGCCTGGTTCTCTGAAAGAGCAGCAAATGCTCTTAGCCAGTGAGCCAGCCCCAGCCCCTTGATCTCCTTTTGGGTGTTTGATGTCACAGTGGCTTCTATTGAGAGTAGGACATAGAGAAAACCATGATCACATTTTCCCGTAACACTTATGCCCGGGCACATAAGCACATTTTAGGTTTCCTTTGTTTTATGTAAAATGGTCAATACTAACTACTGTTCTGATAATGGTCAGAACCAATAGTGCAAGCCATTTTCCTTAGGTTGCAAAATGCAGAAGTTCTTGGGGCTGGAGAGATGGCTCAGTGGTTAAGAACTCCGGCTGCTCTTCCAGAGGTCCTGGGTTCAGTTTCTCTCACCTACATGGCAGCTCAGTACTGTCTGTAACCTGAGTTCCAGGGGATCCAGTGCTCTTTTCTGACCTCTGTGAGTACTACACATATGTAGTGCACAGACATGCATGCCAGCAAAACACACACACACACACACACACACACACACAAATAAAACTAAATTATTACAAAAACCTACAGGTTCCATTCATAGCTTACCTACTCATTATTTGGGCTCTATTTCATGAGGGGGCTCTCATGAGGCCTTAGCTAGCTCGTAACTTGCTGCATAGACTAGACTGACTTGTACTTGTGATACTCCTGCCTCTGTGTTCTCGGTGCTGAGATTACAGGCAGGCGCCATATTACTATGTACCAAAGACATTTCTATCCAAACCCACCTTGCATTTCTTGTTTTCTAGTTTTCTTGAAGACATTAAAATAGTTGATGTAAATGTCAAGGGCTTGTTTGTGAGGCTCGTTAATTCTTCCACTGACAAAGAGATGGAGATTGGGAACCACATTCTCCAACAGAACGTGAATGGACGTGCCATTTCCTTGTACCGATTCCCCCCCAACATCACAATGCAGGCCAACTCCACAGTGACGGTAAGTATGGTCTGGAACCACCATAAACTAGGAGTGCCATCAGCTGGGAACACCGCAAGCTGGGAACACCTCGAGCTGGGAACACTGTGAGTTGGGAATACCAGGAGCTGAGAACACAATGGTGTGTGAATAGCAATTTGGATACCATGATAAGATACAATGTCCCGGGAATACCTTGAGCTGGAAATAGTGCAGACTGGGAACACGGTGAGCTGAGGATGTGTTGAGCTGGGGATACCTTGAAGCAGAAGTGCCATGTGTTACTGTCACAGTGCATTGAGAGTGTAGGAGTGCCGGGAGCTGAGAACAGCTGAGTTGGGAATACAGCATTCTGGGAAAACTGTGAGCCAGGGGTGTCAGGATCTAAGGACGCAGCAAGTCACGAATACCATGAGCTAAAACGCAGCAAGTCGGGAGCACCATGTGGTGGGAACGCCACAGCCTGTCCAGGGTCTGAGAACATGGTGAGCTGGGGACGCCGTGAACTGAGACTATGTTGTGCATTGGGATGCTATCAGCCAGGAGTATAGGAGGAACTGTGAGCCAGGGCTGCCTTGATCTGAGCTCCATGAGCAGGGAGTACCATGAGATAATACGGTGAGTCTGGGGACACCAGGAGCTGGGAACACGGTAAACCGGGAACGTTGTGAGTTGGCAATAAATATCAGGGCCAGGCTCGAATAGGGAAAGCTCCCTCTGCAGTCGGCCTATAGCTTAGCACAAGTGGCCTTTAGACACTGGCCTTTTTACTGAATGTGACCTTTGTGATTTATGGTGACGTGGGCAAATGCCCACACATCAGTCTCTGCAGCTCTCTTCAGGTCAGGATGCAGTCTTATTCAGGCTTGTCCCCTAGCTATGACAGTGAACGTCCTAAGTCCCTAAACTAAGAAAGCACTTTCTTAAAAGACAAGCGAAGAGACTGTTGGCTCAGAGAGCAGGAGCTAACTCAGTTCTCCATTTGGACTGTGTCTCTCTGAGCCTGGGGTGCTCAGTCCTTGACAGTAGAGTAGATTATGTTTGTTTTGCATGACATTGAGATAAGACCTTGTCATTTATAAATTCACATTTGAGAACAGTAAAATCAAGATACAAAAAACAGGGAAAAAATCCTCAAAGATATGCCGGTAAGTTTACCGTGTGCAGTTGGGCTGCATTTTGTGGAATCCTGGGTTGCTGGAAGCCCCCATACCATGGACTGGGCAGTAGTCTAACCTGCGTTGCATCTCTGTGTTCCATTATACTTCAAAACAACTTAGAAGCACAGAAGCCTTTGTAGCCCGGGGCCTTGGGAGGCTGCGGCACAAGGAGCTCCAGCCCAGCCCAGGCAAATGCAAGGACTTCCCCACCTTTAATGACACTGAAAACCCTATCCGTGCAGAAAGATTAATGACAGTGACATCTGTGGATCTAAGTGGAACCCCAGTGGCATTTGTCAGCAACACACTGCTTTCTCCAAGGTGTGGGCAGCAGCATCAGAAGCACAGTCCCAGCCACCAACCGACTTCGTTTGGGAGGAACAGAACAGGTTCCGATCCAGTCCGGACTGCACGACCATCCTGTGCAAACCCCACGGTGAGGTGAGTGTCAGGGTCAGAGGCTGTTGCCAGTGGCCTGCCGTGTGTACATCTAGCTCTGCTCTGTCCTCACACTCTGAAAACCGTGACTAGAGTCACCCCGAAAGGCCGCAGCACCTGGGGCAGACAACAGCTGCCCCTCCCCACCGTGCTCACAGCTGGCCAGCAGGAGCCGTGCCGTCCTGCAGGCTGCCGCAGATTCAGAGTCAGTGTCACGACCCTGGAAGTGTGGGGTAAGGATGGCACTGGACACGGCCCGCTCTGGTCAGCTGTTTGTCCAGATTATTTCTTGGGGTTCTTGTGTATTCTCTTGGCTGAACTGTGCACCAGGAATTCAGCATACAGGCTTGATCTCTGCGCTCAGGAGGCCCACAAGCTAACGGAAGGGCTTATGCTCTTAATTTGAAATGACCGTCTTTTATGCAGATAAGACTAGATATGTTAAAATCTGTCATTCTTTTCCAATGCTTGGCACTTTTATGTTTTCTTTGGTATGATACTAGCACAATTATATACCCAAGAATATACCAGTAGGATTTAACCTCTTTATGAGAGCCAAACACTATTTGTTTTTCAAAATGCTCTTCAGGTTTTTCTTTAGATCTTGTCTTTAATTCTTATCCTCTGGCAAATTTACTATGCCACAGAACTATTCACCCCACACTGTGCTGGCCAGAATATGCGTTTTCTTCTCCCTCTATTACACAGCTGTACTGGGTACTGGAGTGAGTTTTTAAAGATTTTATTTCATTTGTGAGTGTATGCTGTGTACGTGAATGTGTGCTATGTGAGTGTGTGCTATGTGCATGGTATATGTATGTGACTATGTGTGTATGTGTGTGCTGTGTGTGTATCAGTATGTGCTGTGTGTGCTGTGTGTGTAAGTGTGTGATACGTGTGTATGTATGTGCTCTGTGTGTGTATGTGAGTGTGTGATGCATGTGTATGTATGTGTTCTGTGTGTATGTGTGCTGTGTGGTGTATATGAGTCTGTGTGCTGTGTGTGAGAGTGTGTGTTGTGTGAGTGTATGAGTAAGTGCTATAGTGTATGTGAGCTGTATGTGTATGAGTATGTGCTCTATGTGTGCTGTGTGTGTGTGTGTGTGTGTGTGTGTGTGTGTGCCCACAGAGTAATGAAGAGTGTGTCATATTCTCTAGAGTTGAAAGTTCCAGGTGACTGTGAGCCACCTGGTGTGGATGCTGGGAACTGAACCTGGGTCCTCTTGAGGGGCAGCAGTCTAATCTGCTGAGCCATCTCTCCAGCCCATTGATGTGCTTAGGATTGGGAACTAACTAGACCCATTTTTACTCAGACTTCCATGTCTTTATGGATTTAAATTGAATTTTGTAATACTTGTAATAATTTTTGCTGGATGTAAAAATAAGGATATGTAATCCAAGTGACTTACGCAGTCTCCTGAGATATCAGCAGCAAAACCCAAATTAAGATGGATAGTTGACCAATCAAATAGGCAGAATAAGCAAGCTGGTGTAGCTACCCTAATATCTATCAATAGACTTCAGGCTACAATTAATCAAAGGGGATGGAGTACATTTCACACTCATCAAAGGAAAACTCCACCAAGATGATGTCTCGATTCTGAACATCTATACCCTAAATACAAGGACACCCACACCTGTAAAAGAAGCATTGCTAAAGCTAAAATTACATATCAAACCCCACATATTAATAGTGGGAGACTTCGACCATCCACTTTCACCAATGGATAGGTCATACAGACAGAAAGTAAACAGAGAAATAACAGAACTAACAGATTGTCTAAGAACATCTCACCCAAACACACAAAAAGAATATACATTCTTCTTGGCACCTCATGGAACCTTCTCCAAAACTGACTCCATAACAAAATGAGTCTCCACAGATACAGAAAATTGGAACACCCCTGTATCTTATCAGATCACCACTGACTAACATTGGAATTTAACAATAGCACAAACTACAGAAAGCCTACAAACTTGTGGAAATGAAACAACTCTCAGCTGAAATACCACTGGATCAAGAAAGAAAGAAATTAAAGACTTCCTAGAATTCAATGAAAATGAATGCGCAGCATACCCAAACTTATGGGACACAATGAAATCAATGCTGAGAGGAAAATCCATAGCACTAGGTACCCTCATAAAGAATTTGGAGACAGTTCATACTGACAGCATACCTGAAAGCTCTAGAACAACAACAACAACAAAAAAATCAAACACACCCTGGAGGAGTAGACAGCAGGAAATAATCAAATTGAGGGCTGAAATCAATAAAATAGAAACAGGACAATACAAATAACCAATGAAACAAAGAGTTGTTTCTTTGAGAAAATCAACAAGATAGACAAACCCTTATCCAATCTAACTAAAAAGCAGAGAGAGAATATCCAAATTAACAAAATCATAAATGAAAAGGGGAACATAACAGACAATGAGGAAATCCAGAGAATCATTAGACCATACTTCAAAAACCTGTACTTCACAAAATTGGAAAATCTAAAAGAAATGGACAAATTTCTTGAGAGATACCACATACCAAAATTAAACCAAGATCAGATAAACAATTTAAATGGAACTATAACTCCCGGAACCAGATGGTTTCAGCACAAAATTCTACCAGACTTGCAAAGAAGAGCTAATACTGGTAATTTTTTCCATACTTTTTTTAAAATTTAGGTTAGAAACAATCTTGTTTCACATGTCAATCCCAGCTCCCTCTCCCTCCCCTCCGCCCCTGCCCTCCCCACCAGGTCCCCCAGTCCCACACCCAATCTCCACTCTGATCCCCAGGGAGGGTGAGGCCCTACATTGTGGATCTCCAGTAACTGTCATTTCATCCAGGGCAGGGCCTAGGCCCTCACCCTAGAGTCCTGGCTGAGAGAGCCTCCCATATTGTGGCATGGGCACTCAAAGTCTAAATTATTCCGTAATATAAAAACATAAGAAACATTGCCAAATTCTTTCTATGAGACCGGTCACCCTGATACTCAAACCGCATAGACACAACAAAGAAAGAGAACTGCAGAACATTTTCCTTCATGAGCATTGATGCAAAAATACTGCCAAACCAAATTCAAGAATGCATCAAAAAGATCATCCAGCATGATCAAGTGAGCTGTATCCCAGAGATGCAGGGATGGTTCAATATGTGAAAATCTGTCGATGTAATCCACCATATAAACAAACTGAAAGAAAAAAAACCCACATGATCATCTCATTAGATTCTGAAAAAGCATTTGAAAAAATCCAACATCTCTTTCTGATAAAAGTCTTAGATCAGGGATACAAAGAACATACCTAAATATAATTAAAGCAATATACAGCAAGCCAACAGTCAATATCAAATTAAATAGAGAGAAACTTAAAGCAATTTCACTGAAATCAGGAAAAAGACATGACTGTCCACTCTCTCCATATGTATTCAATGTAGCACTTGAAGTTCTAGCTTGAGCAATAAGACAACAAAAGGAGATCATGGGGATACAAATTGGAAAAGAAGAAGTCAAACTTTCATTATTTGCAGACGGCATGATAGTTTACATAAGAGACCCAAAAAATTCTACCAGGGAACTCCTACAGCTGATAAACACCTTTAGTGAAGAGACTGGATATAAGATTAACTCAGACAGGGCTAGAGAGATGTCTCAGCTGTTAAAGGCTAGGCTCACAACCAAAAATATAAGAGTAACTCAAAAAATCAGTAGCCCTCCCATATACAAATGATAAAAGGGCTGAGAAATAAATCAGGTAAACAATACCCTTCACAATAGCCACAAAAAATATAAAATATATTGGTGTAACTCTAACCAAGTAAGTGAAGGACCTGTCTGACAAGAATTTCAAGTCTCTGAAGAAAGAAATTGGAGAATATAATAGGGGATAGAAAGATGTCTCATGCTCATGGATCAGTAGGATTAACATAGTAAAAAGGCAATCTTACCAAAATCAATCTACAGATTCAATGCAATCCCCATCAAAATTCCAGGGCAATTCTTTATAAAAGTTGAAGCAACAATACTCAGCTTCTTATGGAAAAGCAAAAAACAAAACAAAACAAAAACAGGATTGCTAAAACAATCCTGTACAATAAAGGAACTGGTGGAGGTATCATCATCCCTGATCTCAAGATCTTCTACAGAGCTATAGTAATAAAAACAACATGGTATTGGCATGAAAACAGACATATTGATCAATTGAATAAAATGAAAGACCCAGACATAAATTCACATGCCTATGGATACAATTTTTTTGGACAGAGAAGCCAAAACTATTCAATGGAGGAAAGAAAATATCTTCAACAAATGATGCTGGCTTAACTCATGTGGAAATCAAGATTCACTAGACTCAGTACAGGCTAAGTAAAGTTTATTCAGGGAGAATGCACTTACACAAGAGGTGGGTGACCACCACAGGTTCCAGCACCAAGGATCCTCCCAGGCTGTTTCCCATGACCCAACCAGCAGCAAGAGATGGCTCTGGCGTCCTCAACCCCAGATCTAGTCCTCTCCTCCATCATGTCCTCACCTGTGATGACACCCAAATGGGCATGGTCAGTACTACAGGTATGAGTAGGGATGTATACCTCACTACAGAATGGTGGCATGTAGAAGAATGCAAATAGATCCATATCTGTCACCCTGCAGAAAACTCAAGTCCAAGTGGATCAAGACCTCTACATCAAACCAGATACACTGAACCTGACAGAAGAGAAAGTGGGCAATAGCATTTAACACATTGACATGGGGGACCACTTCCTGAATAGAACACCGGTAGCATAGACACTAAGAACAACAATCAACAAATGGGACCTTCTGAAACTGAAACGCTTCTGTAAGGCAAAGGACAGTGTCAATAGGACAAAACGGCAGCCTATGGAATGGGGAAGGATCTTCATCAACCCCACATCAGACAGACATTAAAAAAAACAAACAATCCAATTAAAAATGGGGTGCAAACCTGAACAGAATTCTCAATAAAAAGAATATTAAATGGCAGAGAAACAC